TGGTTGGTTATCATGTTTATCTTTCTCGAGTTAGACAATTTTGAAATTGTATACCGAGTGTCTTTTACAATTTGAAAATCAACTAATGATAGTTAGATAAACAACCATCACGAGTTTTTTGGACATTTTTTCTCCTACAACGTTCAGATATTATATATAGTCCTATCAGTGAAATTATTGCCAGGAGTAATGACGTCACAATGGAAGATGACGTCGCAAAGAATTGTCACTGAACGTCATAATTAGAAGATTGACCAATATAATCACGTTCAAGGTCTCACAAATGGGTAACCAAAAATGTTTATCAACTCCTAGTTAGCTTTTTTAATGAGTTGGGAGTGAGGAGACCTATAGTGGTTGTTGGAGAAAGGCATATCCCCATGGTAGAAAATAAAAAATATGTATATATTTATAAATGTGAAAATATTTCATATTAAAATACCAAAATATTAAATAAAGAAAACCTTTTTGAAGTGAGATATAAATGTTCAAGGCAATTTGCAATAAAGGAGGCTCGGTATTCTAGTGGTAGGACGCCGGGCTCGTGACCGAATGGTTGCGGGTTCGAGTCACGGCACGGCACTGTGTTGCATACTTTACTTAGCTTGTTCCAGTCTATTTAGCTGTAAATGAGTACGTGGTTGGGCAGTGCTAGAATTGTTGAATGCTAGCTGTGAGCTGCCGAAATGGCAGCATCGGCTGTATGCTCCCCAGGGAGTTGAGAAAGATATTGGCTGGTTGCAAAGGTCCTATCATCACGGATAATCAATTTTGTGAACCGTTTTGAGACGACCTATGAACTAGGCTGTGATAAAGTGGTAAATTCTCGAATTATTATTATTATTATTATAAAATGATACCACATCTTGTTTTTTTTATTCGACATATATATATCCATGAAAGTACATGACCGATATAATAAAACCCCACATTGGTGCACTACTAATTGTTCGATATAACGGTAGAGTACCATTAAATACATACATTTTAAATACTAACTATTTCTCGTAAAGACTATGTAATTTTCAAACTGTATGTATTACTATTACAAAATGTTGATTCAAGTCGCATAAATAACAGCCACCCACAATAACTAATATACTAATACATTAGCTACATGTAGTTAAGTAATACATATTGCCATTCTGTATGCTTGGACCCATTGATGAAATGATATTTATTTTTACCTAATACAGGTGACCTGATCAGATTGGGAAGTGATATAATGTCGGTTGCATTACTCAATATAGGCGTAGTTCATTTAACGTCCGCCGTAATATTGTCCTTAGAATATTGCTATTATGCTAAATTAAAAGAACGTTAAACATTATTGAATTCCTGTTTATGGTAAAATATTTACATTTGTGTTAGGGTTTTTTTCACGGGAAAATGTCAATCTTCCGTTGCATTTTTTTTTTTTTTTTTTTCAACATTTATGAGGTCAGAACAATGGTGGTTTCCGATGTTGTTCTCATTAATTTTGAAAATATCAAGTTCATTCCTGAACTATAACTTACATAACTGATAACTTTAGAATGGCTACTTTAAATGTGACTAAGAATTGTTATAATAGTCGGCAATAATAACCAGTAACAAGGTTCAACAAAACCGACCATTAAGGAAAAACCGATAATCTCATTAGATCCTATACATCTTGATCATATTGCTGAGTACTTGTATATCACACAGGTATTTCTATAATTTCCTTGTGTACGATAGAGCTGTCTAGGTTTTGGTTTAATTTTGTTTAACGTCATATTAACAGCTAAGGTCATTTAAGGTCGTGCCTCCATGTGTATGTGTGCTTGCGGGTGTGTATGCAGGATACAGGGTATGTTGGTGTGATTGCCTCCTTGTGATTGCGCGGATTTGATGCCGACTTTATAGTGCTATCTCTTTGAAATACCATGCCGAAGGCACCCAGCACAGCATTCCGCCCGGTGACATTATACTAACAACGGGTGAACCAGTTGTTTCCATTCTCCTTAATGCTGAACGTAAAGCAGGGAATAAAAACTACCATTTTAAAGGACTTTGGTATGTCACGGCCTGGGAACAGAACCCAATGCCTTCCTCACCTGGGCGAGCGCTCAACATAAAATGAGGTGTTGCCAAGCAAGGCGCTAGGAAATAAAAGGTTATTAGAAATAGAGAAGGAGATAATGATCTCAAATATTGCAGGGGGTCCCGCATAAGTCTCCTCCTACGAAACATGTAGTGGGTAACAGCAGGTGTATTCTTTTCCCGGTCCCCACCTACAGTGGTGAGCTGTCTAGGGTAAGAAAGGGATGTAAGAAATCACTTGACGTGACGTCACAACTGTTCAACAATGACGTGACGTCACGTATTTGGAAAGGTCCGTGGCCGTGATGCGGAAAAGACGACGTGATGCAAATAAACCTTTTATTAACCGTACAAGTTAAAAATATGAGAATTTTTTTTCTGTGCAAACTGTGATGTTGCAAATATGGTGTGTGCATTATCGCAAAATAAAGTCAGGGGAAAAGTTGTTATTTACAAAATTAAATAAAATCTCTGGTAAAGTTTCCCTTACCTACACCCCTGGGCATGAAAGAGTCTTATAATCATAATTTTATAAATAGATCACAATGCTCTGTGAAATTTCCAAACTTAATACAGAAAAAGCAGGGTATGCACGAACATAAGTTTATTTGTCATAAAGTACAATTGTATCTCGTTAATCTGATAGATTCAACAGTGTCTGCCTTACTTCAGCATTGCTTACTAATGTGATGTTAGTTAAGTAAGCATTTCCCTGGTATTATGATCTACAAAGTCTTAACACATGGTCACACGAAGCAGAAACATAACACAAAAACATAAAAATTAAAACTTGAAAAAAACCCAATACTTTTTATTCTACTTTAAAGCTATATCGTCTCTCACGCGACGTTATATCATTTTGGAGAAAGACAAATTGAATGTGGAATGGAATGATATAACGATACTTTAGAACATATTATTAACCAAATCGTTATTTTTTTTATAAAAAATGTTCCGTGAAATCTGGACGCCAAAAGTATAACTGGTAGAATGATTCAATAGATGCTGTTCATTTTGGTCTCACTTGACTTCCTGGGAAAATCACGCCGGTAATGAAACATGACCGCTCCTAATAATACATCTACGTTTACTGGAACAAGGAACTAATGCTTTATACTTAGTTATTTATTACTAATCATCTCAACATGATTGACGATACCGTGGCACACAAATTCACCCTGTTACTATGATATTCACCCTGTTACTATGATATTCACCCTGTTTCTATGATATTCACCCTGTTACTATGATATTCACGCGGTTACTATGATATTCACCCTGTTACTATGATATTCACGCTGTTACTATGATATTCACGCTGTTACTATGATATTCACCCTATTACTATGATATTCACCCTGTTACTATGATATTCGTTTGTAAACGGTGTTAGGAGCATTTATGTCTGCTTTAACTTCATAACCTAAAGCCATTGTTTTCAGGATTGGGGTGAGAGAACACATTCTTTAATAATATAACTTGAATACTTTACTTAATTTGTATTGTTTTTGTACTATCCACGCATGTCCATATGGTCTACAATGTAACACACTAACTCAGGTTTGAATCTGAAGTTACCAAACGTGCACTGTATAATAAACAATTTGATACCTTCTGGCATTATCCGAATAAAGTGTATAAATAAATATAATCCATTGTAAGGCCCCTTTCAAAATAAACTTTTTTCAAACTGATATAATATACTCCCTTTACTCAAGTTTATGCATTGGTCAAAATAAAACTGATGATGTTAAACTTGATGTTTCATTTGTACTACATTATATTGGTTTTTCAATGTTACATCCTATATCATATTGATAGATACATTTTTGAAAGTTTTTATGTTTTTATTTTTATTTTGTCGCCCTGTTTTGGCTTGCTTGGTATGAAACATATCAATGTTAAGAAAATAACCGTTTTGTTGGAGCTAGAAATGCTATAACATAAACAATTAATAAAATATTTGAATAGTATTAACGAAACAATATCTGGAAACTTATAACAATGAATTGATTTAAAGACATCATATTCTAAGTCGATTAAAAATACTTTAAAAAAATGAAAATTATGAGATGCCCTTCAAAACTAACCTAACGACTTTGAAACATATCAAATTTTGACTCCTCGTCTATAGCGTCAAGCGCTCTATGTATATTTAACAAGTGGTTACAATACCTTCACTACGATTACAACCAAAACAGGTAAAATTCAATAATTCGATATCCTCAGATCACTTCCAATATGGGAAGTCACAAAAAGGTAACAGTCGTGGATTTGAACATAATGATAATCCTGAAATACCGTAGTTAAAACTAAGTTAGCCGGCTGTGTAAGAGTTCCGGTACCACATGTGGACCTATGAGGATGTCTACCATTAAATACAGGTAATCAATAATTAAAACATGCTAAATAACGAAACCAAAATTTACAAAACTTAAAAAAATAAAATAACAATACATATAAGAAACAACATGCTGACACTGTGTCCTTTCTTGTGTCCATCGCCCCAAACGTCCTGTGTTAAGAGTGAGGATGTCAGAAACATATTTACCAGCGAATAATATTTTGGTATATTGCGTAGAGCAAACAAAATTATGATCAATATCCCACTTCATTGAATTGACACTTTCAGAAAAAATCAATGACATTAGCTAGTGCGTACTGATATTTTTTTTATTTGCGAACCCATACCCTCTATGTTTCCTTGTTCTAGATATCAAGATTGGAAAGATAAATCACGCGTAGACATTGTAATTTTTGACAATCAACAAGTCGGTAGAATTGGATATCGCGTTTATCAATATCTCGGTTGTTAGTTCTAAAATATTCATTAGACACTTGGATTTTGTTTCTTTTAAAATATTGAAAAATATATCGAAACATTCGGCAATATATCAAGAACAACCGAGTCGCTATTCACCTAAAAACGTGTTGGGCTATCTTGATTTTGTACACCAAGTAACAGGACGAATCAACATTCGGAACTTTCGTAGAGATGTAAATTTAACCGTCCCAGTAAAGTTTTTCCAGCACATGGTTTTTGGGTTATCACCAGGCACTGGATCATAAAATCCATTCAAATTGGAATGGTGGCAGCTCCTGTACCACCATGAACCTCTAAAGACGTTTGCACAGTTCGCCGAGGGACGCATATCCTGATCCCGATCTTTGGTTGTGAAGCGTTGTCCGTTGTTATACGCCATGCTGTCGGTGACATTCCCGCTAAACCCGGACACTGAGAGGCGGTAACCGTTGCTCTCAGAGGACAACGCAAATGAGCTGTACCTGACGTATCTAGTGTCGCCATCTACATCCTCCATCTCGATATAAAGCTCGTATGTTTGCGCCGACGTCAGAAGATACATTTTCTCGTTTCCGAGCCAATATTCACCACTGGGATCACCGAACCCGGTCTTAAATTCTATCCAAAAGTTAAAAAATTCCTGACTGCCATCAAATCTATTCTGAATTACAAGCCACCCACCGTTAAGTGTTTCCATATCACAATAGGCATAGAACACGGTGACCGGTGGTATGGCCAAAGTGTACACTGCAGATTGGCTTCCTGACGGCAGACAGTCACACTGGAAACATCTGATATATATGTCCACCAATGGTTCGTAATACTTGTAGGAGTGATGTATCAACCTGCATTCTCGTCGCAGTCCTGTATGCTACAGACACTGGCACATGTCAACCTAGTCGGTGTGCTATCCATCACATCCTCAAGGGTGTAGCCAGCAGTGTTATTCGTGGTACCCGCTTCGTTCTTCTGATACGACATTATTCGATATTTCGACTGTGCGTACTTGTAACAACAAAATATATACGTAATGAACAACTCCAAAATACTCTTCATAATGCCATCAATATATGGTATCAAATTAAAATGATTTGCTCAGTTTTAACGAGAAGCCAGAGGACAAGTTTAATAAATTGTCCGTGTAATTCTTGAGTCTATCCTTCACCTTTAACGTAAGACGAGATGTGTTTCCATGCATGCTATCTAGGCTACTGATATACGGAGGGAAGCTCTGGTCAATATGTCTCCGCGTGTCACTATCTCACCACAATTGAATTTTCTTGTGTTTCTTTTCTATTCATGCGTTTCCCGACTAATTATTGTGTATCTTGCTTCATTATAGATTTGTTTTTGACGCTAACACGAATTTAGATATAGCTTTCAAATTATATGCTGATGTCAAAGGCCATCTTTCCATCATCTATGCAACATATGAGGACAGAGTATTGATTGATGGACATGTAACATTTTACCGAGTTTTATTAATTCTGTATGATTATGTTCTGTCAGTCATCAGCTTACACAGTTCAGAGAAGATCGGTTATTTGATACTAACCCTTAACCTCTGTAGTTTCAATATCATGCAATACATATAAATAATGCTGTTCAAGATTATATGGTTGGTGGTTTAAAGATGCTTCATATTAAAAACTTTGTTGATTCTTTGAAACTAAGTTGGATAAAAAGATTATATCAGTCGTCAGGAAAGTGGAATACTATTTTAATGAAATTGGTTGACTTATATAAACTACTTAATAATGGAGGGGATTATATAAAAGAGTGTCAAAAAATATGTAATAATAATTTCTGGAAAGATGTTTTTGNGCTGAAATATAAGCGTCAACAGTAATCTAAGGTCTATAAAGAAATTACACTCTACTGGATTTCATATGTCATTCATGTTTAATTTGGTCATTGCTGGTAACCAAATTAGCTTTAAGCACATTTTGCCACGTTCTTTAATGGCCATAACTGTTCATAGGATATTTATCTCAATAACAACTATTAAAACATTCATTACACACTTTATTTTCCCCCATATGGTAGTAAGCATGTATGCATCAAAAAGCAAGAATACAAAGTCACAATACAGATAATGAAATTTAGAATATTGTTGTGTATATAAACACCAGAAAGATGAGCATTGAAAGCGTGGTACACAGTCGCATCTTATACTACGGGAACATTAAACTTCGCGCTGTTTTTCATGGAATAGTTCTAAAAATGTGGATGTTTTAAGTACCAGGAGGACAGGTGCCAACACGAGTGTGCATAGTTTTGTTTTTAAGTCATTTTGTATTGTATAATTGTTGATGATTGTGATGCACATTTGAACGCATTGCTTGTGCATGCTATACTGTTTCATGTGATTTATTGCACACACATGTGTTGGAAAAACCTGGCATGCACAGCTGGATTCATCGTCCTTTGGTTAATTCACCTTGGCATCGAATAAGTAGTACAAAAGGCCGGAAGCAAACGGCGTCACACGAAGTTACGTCCCTTTCACACTTTTCAATACTGAATTTCTTCTAGGTGGAATACAATCAAAATTTTATGACTGTCAGTCAATATTTAAAAGGGGTCATGGTTTTATGGGAATGCCTCATTTTCATCATTGTGGACAAGTGTTACTTGTGAATGCTTCAACGTCATTAAGTCCCACTAGCATACGTAGCCCAGCTACTTTTAACCCTTGAGATAGGAAAAGCATATTTCTGCTTCTCAGCATGAATATGAAACTTTTTCCTCAAAATTCTCTGATGCGAAATTCCAACAAATCGAATATAGATTTGTTTATACTCGTATCCGTAAATCATTAGTTTGTTTTAATAAGTAGACTTACTTAAGTTTATTACTAGCGTATAGAGGATACATATGTAATACTTTTATTATTAGTGATGACCTCATACATTTAAAAACTTTACCGACAGTTGTTCTGTGTAAATTATATACATTTCGGTATGAAGTCAACACGTTAGTTTAATGGTATGCCATATAACGATGTTAGATATTGATTAACAGAATCTTTTTATTATCCTCTCAATCACCTTTTGTGAGAAAGTCCTGCTAGGTATTGACCTTTTTGAATAGTCTGTTCTATTTAAAAAAAACGAACTTGAATTTGAATTTGAAATAACTTTAAATTTGTAATGACATTTTAAAATGTTATCTGAACAAAACAGTTTGTTCAGTCAAATAAGAAATACCCACTTAAATGTCGAGGAATTGATAATGTTGATTAAGGAAGACCATCATGAAGTCATAGAACAACAATCCTGTTCAAGTTATCATTTCATTCATTCCCTCATTCATTCATTTATTTTAACTATTGACGAATCATAATTGCAACTGTTTTGAGCATAAAACTAACAAAAAAACAAAAAAAAACAAAAAAAAAAACGCGTTTGCATTACATTGCATTGATCAATATGAAATAAGAAATAGCACATATATTTTACAAAACTTCATTACAACTCAAAAAAGTCTTCATTATCTACAGTTTCTTGATACATCCTTAATGCAAACATGGAGTTTTTCACTCTGTCTCCTTGTTTTTGGAGATTTTCCAGTTAATATGAATTTTGTTTTCTTCGTACAAGCAATGAAACCGCATATGTATCAAATCAATCTAAATAAAGAAATATATGTTGAATGTTTGAAAAAGAAATAAAACAACCGTCATCAAAGCAAGAAAACATATGTCACGATAAAGACGTCAAAATTACGTTGTAGCTCATGTTATAGCCAATAAAATCACTTTAAGGGGGCTTTGAATAGATGTGACTTGATTTTGCTACTTTACAGTACTGACCCTAATATTGCGTCAAAGTCATTATGAAATTGAATATGTTTTACTGGTCATGTTGCAATAATACATATCATTGCTTTGATTGATTACGACACTAGCTGGAAAAGATGTAAATTTTCAGACACTTCAGGTAGGGCTATTTAAGCCAATGAAATCACTTTAGGGGGCTTTGAATAGATGTGACTTGATTTTGCTACTTTACAGTACTGACCATAATATTGCGTCAAAGTCATTATGAAATTGAATATGTTTTACTGGTCATATTGCAACAATACATATCGTTGTCTTGATTGATTACGACACTAGCTGGTAAAGATGTAAATTTTCAGACACTTCAGGTAGGGCTATTTACATTTCATGCTGTTCGTATTAGAATAATAGCACTAAGGATACCTCAATAAAACGCAGAATTACCGTTATGTCTGTTTTGCATGACGGCCCATCCTGTTCAAAGTGTGTCCATGTCACATTCGCAGATCTTAGTAATGAGGAAGTTGTTTTGAAAGTGGGAGTTGGATTTAAGTAACAAAAGGAGGGAGTCCGTGCTAGAAGTTTCTAGTCAACCAGACATGAACAGTAAGATATATAATAATACAGTTTGTGTGTTTTTGCAACCGCATTAAAACACGCTTTTTACTGACCAAATACTTTCATCAGCGCAATCTGATTTAGAATCAATACCGTAATATAGAGCTGTTGAGCTTACACGGTACACGATGCATGTAAAAACGGGTGTTAAAGCATATACATAAGCACAAGTCCTTTGATATACCCACGCTACATTATACCTAAGTATAGCAGTATATCGTGTTGGTTTGAAGTATTCCTCCCATCTGATTTGTTTTTAACAATCTGTCTGAAGCTTACTTCCCATCCACATAACATCATACAAGAACAGAACTGAAACTCCTAGTCGATACGGGAAGACAACACTAAAGGAAGGGAAGTTAAAACAACAGGGGATACACAATGAAACCCCCTAAACATATCCAATCAACCTCAGGAAAGGATGTCATTAATCATGTTTGATACCAAATAAAGACCCATAATATGATATTTCGATGTGGATTTCGGCAAACATTGTTTACGTAATTTAGACCAGTAGGACACTAAATCCTTGCCGCACAACTATAACATGTGCAATGATTTATGACACAAACACATATATCGTCATTTCTGAATATACCAAAAATTACAATGCTCATTCATATAATAGTTTAGCTTGTTCTGCAGAAATTCACTTTAAATGTCACGTCTTCAATATGAGGAGTGGGGTAGTGACAACCAATATCAAGGCACACTGATGAGCATAATCAATTAATATACTTTCATATAAAGCGACAATGCAGAATATTTCCTGAAACAGTGAAGTGGTTTAATTTTAATTTATTCATTCAGCCTCATTCATAGTTAAGGAGGCTCCATCCCTTTCACAATTGACAAGCAGAATTCGTTGAAACTTTCACAAAATGTTATGTTATTTTGTTAAGGGGATTTTATGAAAATCTGAAATAAACACCAAATAACTGAGTTTTCGTCAATTTTGATATGTATTTCGTGTTCGATGCAAATTAGTTATTGAAAAAAAGTATTGCTAAGTAAACTTACAAATAATTCATTTATCACAAAATATATAAAAACGTCACGCAAGGTGTTTTTTTCTTATTGAAAATGCATGGATAAAATGATAATCTATAAGCTAAAGGCAAAGAGGACACATAGTTTCATACAAAAAGAGTAAAAAGTGAACAAAATATACACAATGGCTATATATATATATATTTATAGGAGGTGTCTTCCTTGATAAAAATCGGAACTTTTTTCAGAGAAATATAGTTTACACAATGACAGTCATCTCTTTTTACATATATAAAAAATATGGTAATGAATGAAAATTATGATATCGAAATTGTCAATTTATTGTCCTTTTATCGAACCAAATTACTCTCAATCATAGCGCATGACCACATAGATAGAGGCTATCGCATGTTATGCCGTTCTCACGTGCACCCACACATGCATTTTCGTTGGGATCTTGATATTTTACAAAATACTATTTACACATAGTTAGTGTACTGCATTTGAAAAAAAGAAAGATTTACTTGACAGAACGTAGCCCGCTCGACAGAAAAAAACATAACGACCTCGAGCTTGTGAACTGGTGTAAGCA